CTGGGATTCCAATCCACACTACCCACTTAGTCAGGGACACCCCAAACCTAGAAATGAAGTGATCCCAGGTTAGTGGCAGCCCTGGCACACCCTCTCTGGAGAGAATTACCCTTAGTCAAGTTCCCACAAGTTCCCACAGGTTTTCAAAACCTAAGCTTATAATAAAAAGATTAATAGGTGCTTTAAGAAACCATATATACCATGAGTGAGACTCACCAGAACCACAAAACAAAACAAAACCAAGAAAAACAAACACCAGTTCAAGACCCTGGTAAGATCTCAGATGTTAAAAATTTCACGCCAAGCTCCGCCGGGATTCCCAGTGCTGTGAGCAAGCTCTGTGGTGTTCACAGCATCTGTCATGGTTCGTCCGCTAAACTGTATCGTCGCTGTGTCCCAGAACATGGGCATCGGCAAGAATGGGGACCTGCCCTGGCCGCCGCTCAGGAATGAATTCAAGTATTTCCAAAGAATGACCACAACCTCATCAGTAGAAGGTAAACAGAATTTGGTGATTATGGGTAGGAAGACATGGTTCTCTATTCCCAAGAAGAATCAACCTTTAAAGGACAGAATTAATATAGTTCTCAGTAGAGAACCTCCAGGAACCTCCACAAGGAACTTATTTTCTTGCTAAAAGTCTGGATGATGCCTTAAAACTTATTGAGCAGCCAGAATTAGCACATAAAGTGGACATGGTTTGGGTAGTGGGAGGCAGTTCTGTTTATAAGGAAGCCATGAACAGGCCAGGCCATCTTAGACTACTTGTGACAAGGCTTATGCAGGAATTTGAAAGTGACACATTTTTTCCATAAGTTGATTTGGAGAAATATAAACTTCTCCCAGAATACCCAGGTGTTCTTTCTGATATCCAGGAGGAGAAAGTCATTAAGTACAAATTTGAAGTGTATGAGAACAATTAATGTGAAGGTGTTTTCTGGTTTATTTCAAGTTAGTTGTTACCCCTCCCCTCCAATTATATATATTTTTAATATTAGAAAAAAAGACTTTTGTGACTTTAGGTCAACGGGTAATTATTTCTTTAAAAAATGTTTTTTTTTAACATTTATTTATTTTTGAGAGACAGAGAGAGACAGAGCATGAGTAGGGGAGGGGCAGAGAGAGAGGGAGACACAGAATTCGAAGCAGGCTCCAGGCTCTGAGCTGTCAGCACAGAGCCCGATGCGGGGCTCGAGCTTACGAACCACGAGATCATGACCTGAGCCGAAGTTGGACGCTCAACAGACTGAGCCACCCAGGCGCCCCAATGGGTAATTATTTCTAAGCAATGAGATTTTGAAGTTAATCCTAATTAGACTATAGTTAAGATTAGTTTTAACTAGACCATATCAGATAACCATTTGTGAAACCTTTTTTTGCTATAGCTGTATGATGCCCATCAAGGACCAGCACCTGCCTACAGTAGCGTATCTTTCAAAAACCCAAGTGAAAAAATTCCCTGAGAGCATGAGTTGAAACCAGGACTTATAGAGATAGAACTAGACAGACTTGTCCAAAGGTCAGACATGGGTTATAAACAAAGATAAAACTCAGATATTAAAAGAAAATGAAATCAAAATAGGGACTTTGAATTCTCTATGCATTTCACTCTTCTCAAAAAAGGTTCTGTTCATTCAGGCAATCATTAAGTTGAGGGAACTCTGGTATATTCCACTGGGATAGTAAGGAGGCAGGTAGGACACTGCCTTTTTGAAGGTTAAAAGAAAAGGTCTGAGACCTCTAAAAACTCCGTCTCTGATCTTCTGTGAGATTCCATGGATGTTACAATGATAGAAGAATAAATTGTTCTCTACAAAAAAGAGTGACTTAAAACAAGCATATGGCTAAAATTAGAAACTGAAAAGGTAATGAACTGAAACTAGATAATGCTAGAAACCAAAATTATGAAGTTGGAAACAAAATTAAACTTCACTGAATTAAAAAGTGAAAATTAAAACATGTTTTCCTATCAAGTTAGCAAAGATTTGGATTGTTTAGTAACCAAAGAAAGAGGAGTTTTTGCCTTGTAAATTAATACAACTTTTTTAGAGTTTAAGTTAACAATATCGATTAAAATTAAAATTATTCTGGGTTTGGACCCAGAGCTGAGCTTCCACTTCTAAATACTAATCCTGAACAACAAAGAGATAGACCTAAGGGGAAAAAAAAAGATTTCAGATATTAAAATTATCAGATATAGAACATAAAATAATTTTTAGATGCACATTTATTTATTTTGAGAAACAGAGAGAGAGAGAGAGAGAGAGAGCATGCATGCACATTCATGTGAGTGAGCGGGGAGGGGAAGGGACAGAGAGAAAGGGAGAGAGAGAGAATCTGAAGCCGACTCCCTGATATCAGTGCAGAGCCTGATGAGGGGCTCAATCCACAACCAACCGTGAGATCATGACCTGAGCCAAAATCAAGAATCAGACACTTAACCGACTGAGCCACCCAAGACACTCCTAGAACATAGAATAATTATCCATGAAATGCACACTTACAGAGAGGTTACATATTTTTACTACCACATTTTAAAATAACCGTTTTCTAATTAAAAAGATAGCACTAAAATACTGGACAGTGAACAGTCAGTCAACATTATCAACTAAGAAAGAGTGATTCAAAGTACAAAATTTTAGGATTCCTGTCATTTTTGGAAGCAGAATCCATATTTTATTTTATTTGAAGCTTTGCTAAATTATATATATATATATATATATATATATATATATATATATAATTTTAAAGGTAACCACCAAAAGAATAAAAAAATAGAACGTATAATGTACAAATAGTAGAATGGAAAGAAATAATCTGAAAGACATCAGGAGAAAAAAAGAAACATGAAAAGAATAACAATGAGACCACAAAAGAAGATGAAAGGAATAAATACAAATTTATCAATAATTATAATGAATGTATATAGTAGTCCCCCTTTACCCATGACTTTGTTTTCTAAGGTTGCAGTTACCCACAGTCAAGTGTGGTCCAGAAGTAGAGGATCCTTCTTCTGACTTATTGTCAGAAGGTCAGCAGTAACGTAATGCTACATCACAGTGCCTGCGTCATTCACCTCATGTCATCGCATCACATGGGCTTATTGTCATCTCACATCATCACAAGAAGGGTGAGAGGCACCTGGCTGGATCATCAGTGGAGCATGTGATCTCAGGGTTGTAAATTTGAGCCCCATGTTGGTTAGAGATTACTTAAAACTAAAATTTTTAAAAGAAAAAGAAGAAGGGTGAGAATAGGACAATAAGATATTTTGAGAGAGAGAGAGACACTACATTCACATGACTTTTACTACAGTGTATTGTCATATTTTTTCTATTTTATTAATTATTCATCTCTCACTGTGCCTAATTTATAAATTAAACATTATCATAAGTATGTATGTACAGGAAAAAAACAGTATCTATAGGGTTTGGTACTATCTGCGGTTTCAGTCACCTGGGGGTCTTAGAATGTCTCCCTTTGGTTAAGGGAGGACTAGTGTACCAATTTTTTTTTTTAACGTGGAAAAGAAAGTTTCTTATTGTAAAAGTGCTTTCACCCTCCCTGTGTGTGGCCTTGGAACTGCCCCACCCTTTTTCCCATCACTGCTCCTACCACCACCTTTCACCCCACAGATGGTGGGTGGTTCAGGACAGTGGTGGCTTTCTCCTGTCACCCCCTGGCGGTCCCTTAAGGACCAACTCGTGACCTCAAGGTGCCTTACCTGAGTCAGCCATTCAGCAGTGTCTGAGATACTCATCTTGGTGGTAAGTTACAGTGGCAGATGTTTCTCTGTTATAGCATCTCTTAGAATGTTTGTTTCTGATGCTAACTCTGCATTCAACATGAAAAGGAAACGTGTCTCTGAAGGTAACAAGGGACGCTGAGGCATGCAACCTTTGTTTCTAAGGAGGAGATTATCTGGGGGGGGGGTGCAGAACAACCAGCAGAACACCCAAAGGATGCAAAAAGTCCTTCAAAATCTGGGAGCAGCTCTCACTCTGGAACAGATAATAAAAATGAAAGTAAATCTTTAAAAAAGAAAAAAAAAAAACGGAAGGACTTAATGTTGGCTATCCAGAAAGTCAGGAAAAATGATATATTAAAAATTTTTTAAATATTTATTTATTTTGAGAGAGAGACAGACAGACAGAGCACGAGCAGGGGAGGGGCAGAGAGAGAGGGAGACACGGAATCCAAAGCAGGCTCCAGGCTCTGAGCTGTCAGCACAGAGCTCAACACCCACTAACGGTAAGATCATGACCTGATCTGAAGTCAGACACTTAACCAACTGAGCCACCCAGGCGCCCCAAAAGGAGATAATTTTTGAATGGCATTTTGTCCTAAGTCTGCTAAAGAAAAAAAATAAGAGAGAACTAATATTCTGGTGGAACAGCAAGGCCCCGGGCATTTAGAAAAATATTCCCAGAGCATTTACATGGATTTTAAGACCATAACAAAACAAAACAAAAAACCCCCACAATGCTTTGCTTTTTTTTCTTTTAACTCTTACTTAAGATACTTCTAATATATAACCTTATCCAAGGTTAAAGCAGGAATGAGAAGTACAGCCCATCCCATTTTAATGAATTCACCCTGGTTCCCAGAGATCTCAGCCATCACCCAGCTGTCTACTTGATATAGAGCTAGGCTGCCACCAAGTGGCGGACCATGGTTGTTCCTGCTCTGTCTTCCAGGAAGTATAACTGATTTTGTGTTTCCAGGGCGTGACCTTTGGCAATTTCCTCTCTTTTGAAGTCAAGTGCAAATCTAAAATCACACTTTAAGTGTCCCAAACCGCTTTTGCTGGTTGATTTTTTCCACCAAATAAATAGGCGTTGGAGCTCGCTGGGGCCCTACTCCTAACATCTTGAGAAAGGGGTTCAGAACAGTCCAACATCCAGTTAACCATCAGATTAGTTGAGAGTTTCATTTGTAAAGTAAATTCAACTCAGACTGTCTTACACCCAAAATCTGAATTTATTTTCTCCTGTAACTAGGAAGTCTGGCTGTGGAACTGGTCTCAAAGACCCCCCAGCACCCAAGGCATGTGTGGTGTAGGACACAACTGGGAGTCACAGAGCAAGGTTTGTTTTGCTGTTCCCTTGCGCTCACGCTCAGCATCCCCACTGATTCAGAAGTCGCCTTTCCTCAAGAAAGGATCAGGATTGTTATAGCAAGAAAGCAAAGAGGAAATATAGTGCTTATCTTTTCAATTTCTAAACATATTTAACAATTTTCCATAACACAGATTTTTGAAAGAAAGCTTTGGATCTGCAAAAACAGAGAGTTCTGAGAGAAGAAAGACTTACCGAGAATCAAAAGAGCTAAACTCTAAAGGAATCGGGGGGCAGGGGATATGCCTTGACCAGTAGGTAGAAGAGGAAATAGTTGGACCTGGTCCTGCAGACCAAATTAGGATTGCCCAGATGTGGAGTTTGAAAGAGGAAGAGATGGAGTATGATCTAGAGGGAAGCTGGTGATCCTATGAATGGAGGAGTGCACCTGGGGGGGATTTTCCCAAGAGGCTCTGGGGTCAGCACTGGGGTACTGCCCAGCAGCATTTGAGATTAAATACCTCGTTTGAATCTCCAACTGAAATTTAAAAAAATACATATTTTATTTATTTATTTATTTATTTGCATATTTATTTATTTATTTATTTATTTATTTTTTTTTTTAAGTATTGTATAACTTTATTTTTTTTATTTATATATGAAATTTATTGTCAAATTGGTTTCCATACAACACCCAGTGCTCATCCCAAAAGGTGCCCTCCTCAATACCCATCACCCACCCTCTCCTCCCTCCCACCCCCCATCAACCCTTAGTTTGTTCTCAGTTCTCAACAGTCTCTTATGCTTTGGCTCTCTCCCACCCTAACCTCTTTTTTTTTTTT